GCTGTATGCATAACAAAATGCATACCCAAAACAAACGCGAAAAATATCTCCCATACAACGTCGTTGAAAATTTTTCGCGAAAAGTTTATCGCGATAAGCTGTTGTGAGTGATCGCGAATGGATTATTTGCATCGTTTTTCTTATTTATGAGAGGCCGACATCGGCAATGCTCGGACTTCTCATATTCGAGTGAGAGGAAATTTCTTTGTTTTTTTCGATCGCGAATGAAAAGCAGCGAAAATTTTTTTGTCGATCGCATTCCGAATGTGAGAGATGATAAATTTGTTTGCATTTTTCACTCGCGATAAAAGAATGCAAAAATAGACTTGGAATATTATCGATCGCGATAAATCTCGTAAAAGAATGAAAACGAATAATCATAAATGAGAATTTCCGAACCCTGGTTCTGACTAAATCCTGTAAACCGGACTGCTATTGGAACAGACTAAAAATTAATTGGTGCTCGTTTGTATGTACATACATATGTAAATGCATGTGACTATTGTCAAAACTACTTACCTTCAGACAAGTTGGGGACCAGTTGGTCTTTTTAAGCTCCTGTGGCCGTTTTAAGGGTAATTCTTGGGCTCCTGCACTGCCGCTCGGGGTTTCTGCCTTCTACGGTGGTAATTTTGGGCCGGGTTGCCTGTTTTGGCGGATTGTTGTGCTGTGCGCCGCGTACCACTTTCTCGAGCGAATTGCTCTGGGGAACCTGTTGTGTGAGTTGCTGGCTTTTTGGCTAGACTTTGAGGAGGGTTTATACACGCATATCGGCGGTTGTTTTGGCTTGCGAGTGTGTTGGTGTAGGTACTACATCGGTCGATCCATATCCCGATACAGGGGCACTGTTCTGACCGGCGGGATTGTTTTTGGGTGACCTTTCCAGGGGCTGCCTGGGGTGTGTTCTGCACCCAGCGGTTTTTAACCGCCTTGACCGCTCGTTGAGTCGCCGGCGTTATAGCGCGGGCTCTACTTTGAGTCCTACCGAAACCGGGGCTCTATTTTACAACGCTTTTATCAACTTGCATCAACTTGGATCCAGAAAATTTCAATGTTGTGTGTCCGACACCAAAGCAAAGCTTTGAAAAGTTCCTATAAAAAAGCATAGTGCATAGGGCGACAGCTGTAGTGAATAGGGCGAGGTAGATGACATCTAGATGTCGCCCTATGTACTACGTTTGCTACAGCGGAAATAGACGGCACGCCATTTCTTTAAATAAAATTAATTGGTGCTCGTTTGTATGTACATACATATGTAAATGCATGTGTGTGCACCTTTCTATTAATATCGTTGAATTATTTTAATATCTATTGCAAAATTTTATTCAGACAGGACTAAAAAGTAGAAAATAAATAATATAAAAAAAAACTTTTTAATATACAACGCTTTTATAAATGGACTAAAAAGTAGAAAATAATACTTCTCAGTCCCATAGAATTTGTTTTGATAACTTTTGATTTTGAAATTTTAGCAAAAGTCATTATAAACAATCTATGAAATTGAAAATGAAAAGCGTGGGGCGCATGTAATACACTTGAATTGATATGAGAAGTAATATATGAATGTATGTATGTGGGTATATGAATAACGACCGCTTAAAGTCGATTTCAAAGTTCTACTTTCGCTGTAGAAATTTTAGGTCTACGTTATGTAGTTTGACTATTGTCAATTAAATCGAATGCTTTGTATTGCATGCGCTCCACGTTTTTCATTTTCAATTTCATAGATTGTTTATAATGACTTTTGCTAAAATTTCAAAATCAAAAGTTATCAAAACAAATTCTATGGGACTGGGAAGTATTATTTTCTACTTTTTAGTCCATTTATAAAAGCGTTGTATATTAAAAAGTTTTTTTTATATTATTTATTTTTAATTATATGTAGGAGGGTTTCCACGTGTTTCAAAAAGCAACTTTGACTTAAATAAAGGCAGAAAATTGAAATGTATATGCTAATATGGATATCAGACGAGAGAGCTTGTGGTTCGAAAATATTTTGCACAGGATTGCCACCTTGGTACAAAGTTAGATTCAATATAAGCAATAGGTTAAATAAATTACGTCAATATGAATAAAATTGCTTTGAAGAAACTTTATTTCCAAACTGCATGTAGGAGGGTGGCCACCTGATTTTATAATTAAATTCAATTTGAATTAAGAGTATTAGATATTTTTAATATGTATCACAATACAAGTGTCAGGCGAACAAAGTTTAACGAGATTTTGGATTAAAAATAATTTGGACATTATTGCCATCTGTTATATGAAATATTGAACGAACACGAAGTAGAATAATAATACGGCGACCTATGCTAATATAAAAAGTAATATAAATTTTTGCAGTATGAAAGGAAATAAAAATTAATCCAAGTAGTGATACACGTCACGTCATATGTATATGAAGGTACATATGATTGAAGTTAATGTGGATCTGTCTCTCTATTGCTAATTATTAATATTTTGCAATTCATATTGCTTTATTAAATCCAATTCAATACAATCAAAACGAATATTTCATGTACCGTTTTTAACCTGAATGTGATCTTAATAATATCTCTGATTATTTTTACATATGTATATGCCAAGCGCAATATAAAGCCAAATCGGAAATTTAAAATAGTGTCGACTATCGATAGTTTCAGACCACTAGTTAAGGCTAAAATTAAAGTTAAGATTAAAATCAAGGTTAAGATTAACACTGTGTTTCACTTCTTCCGTGCGTAAGGACTACACGCAATTTTTAACCGACTTCCAAGAAAGGAGGAGGTTATCAGTTCATCGTAATATTTTTTTTTATGTATGTTACCGCATAACTTTGGACCACGTCAACCGATTTAGATAAGATTTTTGCATCGGTAAGGTACTAATCTGGTTTAGATGTGATCATTAGTTCATGAAATATATATATATATTTTTATATGAGAATTGAAGTCGGTTTTGTTTTTTGCTTAAAAATTAATTTATTATTCGGAACGTTGCAAAGTTCCATCCACTCTTACAGCCGGTTTCATCAGCAATTTAAGTTGAAAATGATTTTTTAATTTCTTCCAATTTCCATATAAAACTCCATATTAGCACGGTTTTGTTAAATTAATACCATATGCACACATTTAAGAAGTACTTGTTTCCGTCCCAACCTTTTCCGTGTACAATTTCCGTTGATTTGCCAATTTATTCCCAACCAACCAACCGCCGCTGAAGAAGTTTCACGTCTTTATTTAATGATGTTCTCTTTTCCACAAAAAATTTAGCCTTCTCATTGCCGTTTCTTTAGTATTTGTACGTAGAGGGTACTGAGAAAGCAACGTGTTTCGGTAGAAAAGGAAACATCATAAGTCTTATTATTTAACCTTAAAATTAAACCCAATTCTTCTCACATGCATGCAGAGAACTTTAGGAAAAAATGCAAACCTTCGACTAGTGGTGACTTTTGAAGGGTTGTAAATGTTATTTAACATTTTTGGCTTCTCATTTCGTTAACATTTCGTGACTGACTGTTAGGAAGTATGTGAGCGAATACTTGGAGCAGAATAAACTCGCTGGCATATTTTCTCTGCGTAAACAAAGAACTTCAGATTGTATGATTTTAATACCATGCCGGTCAGAGAGCGAAACATTTATCAGTGCCAAATGTGGAGCGTTGCCGTTTTGCTTAAATTTAAGCAACATTGATAATTTTTTCCTGCCTGTTAAAATTTAAAATGTTTCTTCGTTTTGATAACTTTTTTGATTAAAATAGTCAAAAAGGAAAATTTTCGTCGAATATTCATAGTCATAAGAGTTACCATTTAAATAAATTTTTCAATTTTGTTTTAGAAGGACTGTTATCCGTATCCCGTACAAAGTTCCAGGAAATGTTGCTTTCGTCGCATTTTCAAACCTCCGATTGAACTTCTGCCATGAAATCGCTGCTTATAGAAACAATTTGCCGTTCGGAGGCGACCTAGAACTTGTATAATAGCGAAAGGGCAGCAGCTAATTATTATAGGAGTATATGTTGAAAGCCTGAAAGAATATGTAGGTAAATAATAATTTATAAATTAAGCAACTGTTAGACTGTAAAATCCTTGCTTTTGACGAAAAAACTGAGCCTTAGATTGCTTATTTACTTACTTTCTTACATTTTATTTCTATAACCAATTTACCACGCTTGGTAAGAAAAGCCGAAATACGGCTTTATTCAAAAGTATGTTTCGTTCTATTAAGACCCGTTAAATAAGTTGCTTAATTTTTACGGGATTTGGTAAATTTTTTTATCGATTTTGGTAAATTTTATTTTTCGACCCCGGCAACACTGAAACTTAGTCGTGGCACTGTCCCTTCGCATACCTTACATTGGTTTTCTTATTTATGTGCATCTAGACAGTCTTTCATACACATACATACATACATAGGCAATAACCGCCTAAGTCGACTTAAGAATGAATTGAGTTACATATGCTATCGTATTCTGCCACTACTATTCCATGTGAATGTGAAATCCCCCTTTCGCCAGCTAGGCTATTTAAAAAGTTATAGACGGACATATTTTGGTTGCCCCATTAGGTTAACATTACAATCCAAATGTTTAAAACGGTTTTTCTCGAATTCAGGTTTTTCGACTTAGGCGGATATTGCTTATGACCACAGATATATGCACATGGACATTTATTCAAAAACTAAAAGCAGGGTATACCACTGTTTATAAATAAAACTGAGTATACAGATAACAGAAATGAGCAAAAAGCAAAACATATACAAACAAGCTACACATTTAGTTCCCTGCGGCTGCTTTTTCAAACAACTTGGACAAAGATGGTACTCGGCACAAATAACAGAATTGAGAAAACAGCATTAAATTAAAATAGCACAAATTTAGTTTCTCGCGGTTTCTTTTGCAAACAACTTGGACGAAGATAATACTCGGCGCATCAAACAAAATTTGCATTTACACATATGCACATACATATGTATGTATACGCAACGTAGCAATAACTTCGCTAATAATATATCTTAAAAAATCCAAAAAGTGTAACTCGAACAAAAAAAAATCTGGAAGTAGTAAAAGTCATCATCTATGTACTATACATACATAAGTGCATACATAACAATTTTAAGTGAGAAAGAATACGCGGCCGCCGAAAATTTTAGTGAACGCACTACACCTACCATTTGCCATTGACCTTTATTTGACATTTATAAAAACGGCAGAGAACGCTTTACAGAAACGCTAGTTTGTGAGCCGTTGGTGGCCGACCATTTGGTCGTTGTGGTGTGTACGAAGAGTTAACTGAAAGCAGATAATTTTCAACAATCACTCAGGTATGGTTTAAAATGTCAAAAGGTGTATAACACATAAAGTGCTATTATAATTCGACCAAAAGAACTCTAAGTGGTTTTAAGTGGTCTGATTTTAAGAACAGGCATTTAAGCACATAAATACTTACATACATACATATGTATATGTGCATAGTATATGTGTATGAATGTATTCCATATTATGATCAATTAATTACATGTGCATATGAAAACTCGTTCTATTGCAAATAAACATATGTACAATGTACATCAGTGTTGATATTTTAAGTACAATTGTACATTTTTCAGTACAACTAGTTTTAAGAAGTACAAAAGTGTAATTTACCGATTTTAAGTGCAATTTTAACATTAAAAATACTTTTTGAACCCAACGCTCTAATCTCCGCTAGCACTATGATTCTTAGTCCTTTTAAATTTAAGTTACTGTCCGCCTTCACCTGCTTGAAAATATAGTTTGCGTGACAATTCATGTGCAGGCCGCAAAAACTACGAAGAATATTTTTTTCTAGCATACCGAGTGGTTTGCGAGATCTTGCTTGATTTCATCTGTCATTTTAGTAGTAATAAAAAAAAAATAAAATTTAGAAAGAGTTAATGGCTATTTAAAATAATAAAATGGAGTGGCGGATTCCATTAGAATATGAATGCGTTCGGAATTTCGTGAAAAAAGTATGCTTTTAAATGCCCAGTCAACAAAATTTAATCTCACCTGCAAGAAATAAAAGGAGAACGCAAGCGAAATTTTCAAGCAGGACATACTTATATTTCATATTACAATTTTAAATGTAAACGAGATTGTGAATGGCAATATTATTGATGAGCGTTATGGTGATTGCATTTTTTTTATCACCGGCGGGTGAAATATCACTATTGAAGAAATCTAGTCATCTCATTTTATGTGATATTTTTTTTCATTAATATAAACTAATCTATCTACTGTATTAATTTTTTATCGTTGTTGCCGTCATCTTTGAATATACAACCCGCGACAAAATACGAAGAAATACGAAAACTGCCATAATTTAGTAACTACTGAAGATTATGCACTCAAAATTGATATTTACAATAATTTTTAGACGAAAAATAAGAATAGTATAAATATTTGAAAAATGGGCATAGCCACGCCCACTTATGGTTACATGTGTATATCTTGGCAACCGCTGCACCGTTTTCTTCCAAAATTGGCACAGTTATTGGGCCAGGATACCAAATGGCCAACAATTTTTAAAATCGGGCAATAACCACGCCCACATTCCATATAACGGTAATTTGGAGAAATACTAAATCTTCGATAAAGCAGTAAATATTAAAGCTAATTTATTCAAAGTTGACGCTTGCAACAATTCTTTACCAAGAAATACGTTTCTGATAAAATTTTGGAAAATGGGCGTTGCACCGCCCACTTATGATCACATATATGTATCTCAGTAACCTTTCTACCAATTTGTACCAAACTCGGTATGGTTATTGTGCGTGCCACATAAAAGCCAAACGTTCAAAATTATTGAAATCGGACTAAAATTACGGATATTCTGATAACGGTAAATTTCAGAAATGCTTGAAACTTCAATATTTCGAAATTTAAGGACGCTAATTCACTCAAAATTGATACACCCCGGCTTACCATGTAGCGGTAGCTTTCGGAAAGGTGAAAATATGTGCGCCGGGTATTTAATGTTCGGCTCCGCCCGAACTTAGACTTTCTTACTTGTTTTAATTTATTATCTATCAAATTAATTTTAATTATATTTTTATAAAAGTATAGCTCATTGTCTGAAGGAAACCATAAAAATTAATCCAGAATTTGTAGAAATTTTGTGGGTAAACATTTTTTCACTTTCTTCCATATAACGAATGTTCGTATTTTATTTTATACTCGCTGTGGTTTGCTGTGGCATATTCCTTTTACATGGATGATAAGTGATTAACGAAACAAAGCCTACGTTTCATATAAGCTTTATTTTGTAACAAGTACTTGTGTGCATACAATATTTGTCGTTTTCCCATTCTCTGCATAGATTTTAACCCTGGAAGTGCTTCGCTCTTTTGACCCTGTCTGCGGGCTTGTTAGTCGAAACGACTAACACCAACTTCGAATTGAAATAACAAACATAAAAGAGTTAAAAACGAAAATACATTTTATGAATTTTAGTTCTTTATAGTTTTTCAAACACATAAACAAAATATTAAATACATATTATTTTCTCTGTTACATATAATCAACAAAATGGTAAATGACTTCAGAGAGAGGTACGAAGCGAAACCCGATTTTTGTTAGTCGAATCGACTAACGAAGCACGTCCAGGTTTAAGGATAACTGGTTTGCCGACACGGGAGCATGCAACATCTGAGAAGCAATCCGCATCTAAATCTAAACCACACTTTTCCAAAGGTTGACCTTGAGCATTATTGATTGCGACTCCGAATGCCAATCGAATTGGGAATTGCAATCTATTAAATTGAAATGGTTTATCGGTCGTACGGTTGCCAGACGTACGGATTTTATCAGTACAGTACCGATTTTTCAACTCTCGTACTGATTTTATTAATTTCGTCAATCAGTCCGATGTCCGGTAATTTTTCCCCATGTATTTTTAACTGATTAATAAAAAAGGAGGAGGTTATCAATTCGACGGAATATTTTTGTTCGGTTTTATTTATGTTACCGCATAACTGTGGAGCACGTTTATCTATAATTCTTTTTTGAAATTGAAGGTGGTACCCAGAGGTAGTGCCATAATAATTTGGTTTAGATCCGATCACTCTCATGAAGAAATTAACGGTACTCTTAAATTTGTATATGAAAATTGAAGTCGGTTGTGTTTTTTGCTTAAAAATTGCTTGTGTTTGTGTAATATTATTTTTTACAAACAAAATATTTTAGAATTTTTAACATAACGTTAGAGCTTCCTTCAACTGTACTGTAAAAAGTAAAAACAAAAATTATTTGATTATAGTTGACATGTTTCAGATCTTTGATATGCGCAAGAAATTAGAGCAATCATTTGATGCGCATATCGCCGAGTCATATAGTATGTTGCAGTATAATTTATTTAAAAGAGGGCTGACTTTGTTTCCTGGCTCAAAGAGAGAAGCCGACCTCTAATTAAAATTTTTGAAAGTGAACACCTAATTAAAAGTGGTAGGCTAGGTTGTAGGTGGCTAATCTCCAAAAAAATATTTCCTACAGTCATCTTCCTTATACATCTTTAAATTGATACCTATATTGTAATATGTCATTTATTTTATCAATTAAATTGAGTTAGATTTTCAATCAGGTGGTAACTCTCCTCAAACATATTTTCTGTTGTAAGCCTTCTTAAACCTCTTTAGTTTCGACACCCACATGGCAATACTCCATTTATTTTATCAATTTAATTGAGTTAAAATTTTCCATTAGATTGCAACCCTCCTCAAAAATATCTCCAACAGTTATCTTTCTGAAGCCTATTTAATGTGGTACCAACATTGCAATATTTCATTTATTTTATCAATTTAGCCGAGTTAAATTTTTTAAATAGGTGGCAGACCTCCTCAAAAATATTTCCAACAGCTATCTTTCTGAAACCTTTTTAATTTGCACATTGCAATATTACATTTATTTATCAATTTAACTGAGTTAAAATTTTCAAATAGGTGGCAACCCTCCTCAAATATATTATCGGCTGTAAGCCTTCTTAAAAATCTAAAGTTTGATGCACATGTTGCAATACTTCATTTATTTTATAGATTTAACTGAAATAAAATTTTCAAATAGGATGCAACCGTCTCAAAAATATTTTCAACAGTCATATTTTCTAGACCTCTTTAATTTGATACCTATATTGTAATAGGTCATTCAAGTTATCTTTAAATTGAGTTCAATTTTCAAACAGGTGGCAACCCTCTTAACCTTCTTAAAACTCTTAAGTTTGACACCCACATGGCAATATTTCATTTATTTAATCAATTTGACTGGATTAAAATTTTCAAATAGGTGGCAACCCTCCTCAAACATATTTTCGGCTGTAATCCTTCTTAATACTCGTTAGTGTGACACCCGCGTGACAATATTTTATTTATTTTATCAATTTGACTGAATTAAAATTGTCAAATAGGTGGCAACCCTCCTCAAATATATTTTCGGCTGTCAGCTTTCTTAAAACTCTTTAGTTTGACACCCACATGGCAATATTTCATTTATTTTATCAATTTGACTCCGTTAAAATTTCAAAATAGGTGGTAACCCTTGTCAAAAATATTTCCAGCAGTTATCTTTGTTAAACATCTTTAATTCGATACCCATATTGTAATAATTTATTTATTTTATCAATATAATTGGGTTTAAAAATTTTCAAATAGGTGGCAACCCTCCAATTTTTTGGGATATCACTGGTTCTGGTATTATACCGAACAATAAAAAAAAAATTATTCAAATCGGTTCAGCCGTTCTCGAGCTTTGACGACCGTGACATGAGCCCAAAATACAATATCGCAGTGGCAGTGGCAGTGCCAGTTTTAAAAATCAGCTGTTACTGCTAATATTGGCAGTCACTGCCGCAGCAAATACAATACGGCGTTGTCAGTGACAGTTTTTTTTTGACCTTCCCTTTTGTTTGTTTACATTTTTGTTGTTGTCTTTTAGGCTTTAGTGACATGAACAGAAGTTGGCTGCATTTTATTTATGTCAAATTCAGCATGCGAAGTTTTCTGCGATGAAGGCAGTGGCAGTGAGTTTAGAATTTGGGCTAAACTGAGCAGTACTGCCAACTGCCACTGCTGTATTGTGAGTCGCTTCATTGGGCACCACACTTTCTAAAAAAAACAGCTGATTTCGAAAAGCTGCCACTGCCACTGCCACTGCGTTATTGTATTTTGGTCTTTACGAACACAACATTTTTATATATGTACATATATAGATATAGATATAAGATAAAAGGAAATGCGCTACACCGTTTCGATTTTTTTTTAATTTTGAAATGTGGTTTTATTTTTGGTAGACAATAAGCTATACCTTTCTATAAAAAAAAATAATTAAAATTTATTTGAGAAAAATAAAATAAATAGCCCAAACCGGGTTACTATATCATTTTGTCCGGGGGTATAGTTTTATAAACTTGGAATATAATGAAGAGATCACAATGATAAGTTAAGTTAAATTAAGCCCACAACAACTGAAGCCGTACAATGAATTGACCAATAAACCCTCTGCAGTAGACAAAAAAATGTTTTTTTTTCGGATAAGCGAAAAATAGAGGCAATGGTGTATTGACGGAAATGGCGAAAAGTACAATTAAGCTCAAAAACTTACACTTTTTTCATTAATTTAGTACAATTTAAAAATCTCAAATATCAACACTGACGTACATATGTACATACATACACACATACATATATTTCGGGGATGTTGCGAATATTTGCACTCGCATTCGTTCTGCGAATGATTCGCATCATTTTACACATTTGCATCGACATTATACGAATATTTTGCGAATGCGAATGTGTACGTGTTCAGAGTGCGCAGTTAAAATGACCACTAAGCACACAATTGCACATGTTAAAGGTTGTTCCATCTACATACAAGTTTGGAGTTGCGTTGGCGTTGGCGTCGCTTTGACACAATTCCTTGTACATGTTCGAGCGAATTTTAAAGGTAAAATATGAGTTGAGCCTTTATATTAACGACAGTGACATGGATCTAATTTTGCCAGAGAAGTGGATTATCATGGAAGCTTGTGTTGAGCTAATTAAACTTTTGAATAAGCCATATGGAAACTAAGCAGCTATGAGACCCTCTTATCATCCATGATTCTAATATGTACTTCAAATGCTAATAAAAACTCGGTGATTTTTTTTTTTTTACGAAATAGCAAGATTCTGACCCGATTCGGCTGGTAGTCACGACTTTGAAAATATCTTGTTTGAATTTTCATCCATGGAAAATAAAAGGTTTTTTGCCATATCCACCTATTAGACCCTCGCTATAAGCACAATGTTTTTAAACCAGTTACAGAAGAAAGGATTAAAAATGAATTAAAACAAGTAAACAAGTCTAAGTTCGGGCGCAGCCGAACATTAGATACCCGGCGCAAGTATTAAATATAGTTTTTTTTCATCTTTCCGAAAAGTACCCCTACATAGTAAGCAGGGATGGCTTTACCCCTACTTCAAACATCTGCGATAAACTTATATATCTAGTTATATGTGGGCGGAATCATGCCCATTTTCCTTGATTCCATAATAGTGTCTCTTTTCAAGGGATTCTTGTTAGTGTCAATTTTGAGTAAATTAGCGTCCTTAACTTTCGAGGTTTTTGTAACGCATTTCTGAAATTCGCAGTTATATGAAAAGTGGGCGTAATTCTAGTCCGATTTCAATAATTTTCGATGTTTTGCTTTAAAGTGGGAAGTGCAATAACCATATCGAGTTTGGTATACATTGATCGAACGGTTACAGAGATACAAATATGTGGTCATAAGTGGGCGGTGCCATTCCCATTTGCCAAAAGCATCAAATTTGAATAAAATAATAATAATAATAGTAATAATAGATTGGCGCTTACACATGTGTTAGTGTTTGGCCGAGCTTCTCCTCCGATTTGTGGCGTGCGCCTTGATGTTGTCACACAAAGCGGAGGCACCTACAGTTTTACGCCGACTCCGAACGGCGATTGTGTTTTTTATGAGAAGCTGTTTTTCATGGCAGAAATACCCTCGGAGGTTTGCCATTGCCTGCCGAGGGACGACCGCTGTTAAGAAAAATCAATTTGTAGGTTGCCCTTTATCCAAGGTAGGTTGGTGTTGAAATTGGGCGAAATCGGGCTGAAACCCGATATTTAAGTAAATATTTGATCCAAATTGTTGAAAATTTGTATGTGAAATAAAATTTTGGTAAATGATAATACTATTATGAAATTTTTGGAAAATGGGTGCAACCCCGCCCACTTCTGATGAAATGCAGTGTCTCAACAGCCACTTCACCAGTCCTTACCAAACTCGGTACGAGCCTTGCCTAGGGTCTAGCTAAGAAATGTTTCAAATCGGGCAATAACCACGCCCACCTACCATATAACGGTATTTTAGAAAAACACGAAAACTGCGATAAGTCAGTAACTACTGAAGCTAATTCGCTCAAAATCGACAATTACAATAACCACTTAGCAGAAAATTAGATTATTATAAATTTTTGGATAATGGGCGTGGCGCCGCCCGCTTATGACCACAAACGTATATCTCGCTAACCGATTTATCATTTATACCAAACATGGTGCATTTAATATCTTTGGCACGGATAAGCAATTCGTTGAAAATTATTCAAATCGGACTAAAATTACCCCCGCTTCCCCTATAATGGTAAATTTCGGATATACGAAAACTCCGATATTTCAATAACTGAAAACACTAATTTACTCCAAGTTAATAGTTACAGTAATCTCTTAACAATAAATCGCACCCGCGGATGTCTAAAATTCCACATTCGCCACATCCCTAGTATGTACATACACATATCGACGGTACTCTGGCAAAACCTCGTATCTCAAAACACTCTCAAACAACACTCTATAGTAAAAAACTCTATTTTAATAACAAAAAATATTTTTTTGATCTGAATATTAAAAATTAAGTACTTTTTACTAAATTAAGAAAATGTAATGATTCTGAGATACGAGGCTGTATCAAAGTACCGTTGATATGTGCTTGCCAATCTTTTTATTTAGACTCAGTACACTAATACCTAAAATCTTTGAATGAAACTACAATCAATGGGAGATAATGAGCTACAGAACTTCTATCGGCTCACTTTCCTCAACCTCACTGATAAGATCTTGAAAATTTTAGTAGCTAATTTGATCAATTCCGTCGCTAGTTTTCATCAACATGTTACGAAGACAATACTCATTCCGAATAGAAGACCAGGAAAGCTTCAAAAAATTCTCTGAAGCTGTTCTTACTCGTACTAAAACTCATATATTATTCTTTTTTAACTTTGTATTACAGATGAATCGGCGATTTTCTCGGGTTGAGTCCGGTATTGACTTAAAGGACTATTTTGACCGCGGTGACATTGCATCACGTGAAAATCGTTGGAACTTTGAAATAGCATGGGAGGTGGCTAATAAAGTTGGAGGTATTTATACGGTCATCCGCTCGAAAGCGTATGTTTCCACGGAAGAGATGGGTGAGCAGCTATGCCTTATGGGCCCTTACAAAGAACAGTGTGCACGCACAGAAATGGAGGAGATGGAATTTCCTCGCGGTAATCCACTTCTGGATGCTGTGAATACTATGAGGTCACGTGGGTACAAAATTCATACGGGACGTTGGTTGGTAGATGGTAATCCTCAACTTATCCTATTCGACATTGGCTCCGGTGCATGGAAACTAGATCAATTCAAATCAGAGTTATGGGAAAAATGCCATGTTGGTAAGACATTTATTTTGCATGTCGTGTGTTAATAACTTCAAATAAATTCTTAATAACTTCATAGGCGTACCACATTTAGACGTTGAAACGAATGATGCTATTATCTTAGGATTTATGATTGCTGAATTTCTTGAAGAAGTTTGTATATTTTCTATTGGCTTTAAATTACTTTTATTATTTTTTCTAATCTTTTAGTTTCGAAATCGTGCTTTAGATTACTCCAACTCGCATGAGCTACAGACTCCTCGCATAGTGGCACATTTTCACGAATGGCAGGCGGGAGTTGGATTAATTGCCCTACGAACAAGACATATAGAAGTCGCTACAGTTTTCACTACACACGCCACTCTTCTAGGTCGCTATCTGTGCGCTGGAAACACTGACTTTTATAATAACTTGGATAAGTTTGCAGTGGATGAAGAAGCTGGAAAACGACAAATTTATCACAGATATTGTATTGAAAGGGCTGCCACCCATTTATCCCATGTCTTCACAACAGTCTCGGAAATAACAGGATATGAAGCAGAACACTTGCTCAAGCGAAAGCCGGATATAATTACGCCGAATGGCCTTAATGTAAAAAAATTTTCTGCTATACATGAATTCCAGAACTTACATGCAGTAGCAAAAGAAAAGATCAATGAATTCGTACGTGGGCATTTTTATGGGCAAGTCGAACTTAACTTTTATTCTAATTGAACTCTAACTATTTACAATTCCGTAGACATATGGATTTCGATTTGGATAAGACGCTTTACTTTTTCATTGCTGGTCGCTATGAATTTGGAAATAAGGGTGCTGATATTTTTATAGAATCCTTAGCTCGACTCAATGCAATGTTGAAACATGAAAAACCTGATACAACAGTTGTCGCTTTCCTCATATTTCCCACTAAAGTTAACAATTTCAATGTGGACTCACTGCGCGGCCATGCAGTCATTAAACAGCTGCGAGATACCATCAACAATGTTCAAAACTCTATAGGAAAACGTATGTTTGACTCCTGTGTAAAAGGCCATATTCCTAGTCCAGACGAAATGCTTACAAAAGAGGATTTGGTCAAAATTAAACGATGTATGTTCGCTATGCAGAGAGATTCAATGCCGCCAGTTACGACACACAATATTGTAAGATATTTGTTAATTCAGTGATGGTGCATACTTTTTTGGCAAATCCCCACTCAACAAAAAAAATCCCCACTTTTCCCTACGCTTATTAAAATGTTACCCCACAATTTTTTCCTTACTGCTAACTTTAGTAATCCTTACTACTAACTTTGGTTAGGATTATACAATGATTAGAGACGTGAGCCCCTGGACAGGATTAAGTTTTTTGTTTGTTTTTGTTGTTATTCCAGAGGACCATCGATATGTATATACATAAATGCAAAAAACACTACTTAATTAACTTTAATATTCGGCTTTATCAAGTGAACGTTCAAATAGCTACTGAGGCCACAAAAATCGGATTGAGCCGGTGCTCATGAAATACTAAATGGAGTGTTGTGCCATTAAGCAACTTACCCCCAAAATGTGTACAATGTCGCAAATTTGAAAAAATTGATAAAAATGTACAAAATGCGTAAAAATTAGCTGTCGACGCTAGTTAAAAAAAAAAACACAAGTACGAAAGTCTAAGCTCGGGGGGAACCGAACACTAAATACGTAATATGTGTGTATAAATATGTTTTTCACCTTTCCGAAAGGTACCGCTATATGGTAGTCCGGGATGTATAAATTTTGAGTAAATTAGCGTCCTTAAATTCCAAAATATTGAAGTTTCAAGCATTTCTGAAATTTACCATTATATGAAAAGCGGCCGTACTTTTAGTCCGATTTCAACAATTTTCAACGCTTTGCTTTTATGTGGCAAACAAAATAACCATACGGAGTTTCGTACAAATTGGTAGAACGGCTACCGAGATACATATATGTGATCATAAGTGGGGGGTGCCACGCCCATTTTCCAAACTTTTATCATAAACGTATCACAGTTGCCGATTTAGCCCTTTGGTGGCTTAATTTGATCTAATTTTTTTAATTTTTGTAAGAAATGAATTTTTAGACTAAGAAATACTGATATATATATATCGTCGTTTAAAGTACAAAACCGCGTATCGTCATTCTGCAAAACCGCGTAACTGACGCACCCAATGTCAAGAATTGGATTTGCTCACACAAACTCTTGGCTCAATCCTTATCCATTCGTCCTGAAATATACTATCCAGAAATGCGATTTCTTTATAAAAAAGAGAACCATTTTGAAATATGAGTGTTTTTACCCTCTAGAAAATAATTTCTACAACTTCACATACGCATTTTGCATTTTGTTGATACGCGGTTTGGCACTTTAAACGACGATATACATATATGTATTTTATGTTCCTTACGTTTTTATACATACATACTATAAAAGTGTTAGGGCCGTTAACTTATCCATTAACGATTTAACTATAGTATAGAATATATACGTTTACGGCCCTTAATACGCTTAACTTGTTAAATGGCCCATCAAGTCGATTGACCGTGTGTGTTCTGTTGGTGTAATTGTACCAGCTGCTGGTGCGACTTTAAAAGCTATTTGAAAATTTTATGATTGTACCAGCATGCTGGTGTCGCGAATGGTGAAATTAGCTAATTTTTCTAAGTAAAAAGTATTTTGGCGGAAATTTCTTGTACTATATGAGTCAAAGCCGTGTTTGTGGAAGATTAGAGTTCACGATATTACAGTTGTGAACAAAAAAAACAATGTTTAACAAAATGGTAGAAAAATTATGAAATTTCGGCTCTAATCATTTCGATCATTCCTGGACCTTATTTATAAAGAAATAGAAATTGTACCAGCATGCTGGGAAGTTATAAGCTTCGAGCATGATGGTACAATCATTTGATGGAGCCAGCAAGCTGGTGTCGTATAGTCCCCCTTTTACACAAAAAGGTTTTTGGTTGGCTAAAATATTAGCTTTTTTCCAGAGTACATTGTTTTTCTATACTTGAAAATGTTTGCGTGTATACTGAGATATGTATGTATATGTAATTAAAAACTTTTAGCTACCATTTTAAGCCACAACGACTTTTTTTAGCCCTTTTTTAAAAGGAATTTGGCTACCACTAAAAATGATTCGCGGCAACACAGAAATGCTTGAAACTTCAATATGTCGAAATTTAAGGCGCTCATTTACTCAAAATTGATACACCCTGGCTTATCATGTAGCGGTAGCTTTCGGAAAGGGGAAAGTATATTTAATACTTGCGCAGGGTATTTAATGTTCGGCTCCGCCCGAACTTAGACTATCTTACTTGTTAAAAATCTGTCCTTTTACCTACACCCAATTTTTTTCGACATAAATCCCTACGGGTAGGGAATTTCCCTACGTGTACCAACACTGTGTTAAACTCATAAAAACCACCAATATACTTACATATGAATTTTACTTAGGTTGATGACTGGAATGACCCTGTTTTAGCAGCTATTCGCCGCTGTCATCTCTTCAATTCCGTGCATGACAGAGTTAAAATGGTTTTCCATCCAGAGTTTTTAACATCTACAAATCCGCTTTTTGGTATTGATTATGAAGAGTTCGTACGCGGTTGTCATTTGGGAGTATTTCCTTCATACTATGAACCTTGGGGTTATACACCTGCGGAATGTACTGTCATGGGCATTCCAAGTATAACTACAAATTTGTCTGGTTTCGGTTGTTTCATGAATGAGCACATATGTGACCCGAAGTCGTACGGGATCTATATAGTGGACCGTCGCTATATTGGCTTAGAGAACAGTGTACAGCAGCTTTCTGGTTTTATGATGGAGTTTGCGAGACTAAACCGACGACAACGTATAATACAAAGAAATCGAACGGAACGTCTCAGTGATCTATTAGATTGGAGAACTTTGGGAATAGTAAGTATACAATAGATGTATTTTCCAAACGTATTGTGCAGTCCACTGCTGTATTTTTATGACAGTATTACCGCCAAGCCAGAGTTAAGGCATTGCAGGCTGTATATTCAGATTATGTGGACGAGGGATCTCTCTATGGTTCAAGAAGCACATTGAATTTTTCAAGGCCTTTCAGTGAACCACCAAGTCCTACATCTTCTAGTAAGTAGTACATACTGTATATGTACATGTGTATATATCTGTACCAACAAGGATTTACAGCAAAAACGACTTAGAGTTAAAATTTTTCTAATATGAAAAGGTGAAACTCTGTTAAGTAGATATTATGTTTCCTTAGAAGTCGATATCAGCTGCTGTATCTCGTCGTTACCAATACATACATATGTACCTATATGCAAATACGCACTGAACTATTTTGATTAATAAATTTACGTAATCAGGACACACAACACCCGCTCCATCAGTGCATGGTTCTGACGACGAAGACTCTGTGGATGATGAGAAAGAGTTGAAAGAACTAGGAATTAAGTAATAACTAAAACGGTCCACTTTAAGAATTATTGCAACGTTTCAGGCAGTAAATTCATATTTTACACACTGCATTACTATTGCTACATATACGAATGTATGTACATGCATATGTACATACACACGTAACCCATACTAAAATAGATATTTAGAAAGATTAAAAAAATTGTTGATATGGCTATATACTAATGAAGATATAAACAATTTTATATATGTATGTTAAAATAATGTGATGGTAAAGACTATGCAAATTCTTCATCAGCTGGAGGAAAATATTATGTCCAACTTGCGTACAAACATAAAATTATAAATTTCAGGTGAACAAATAAAACAAACATAAGTATATGTCGATGAAATACAAATCAAAGAAATAAAGCACTTAGCCAATAAATTCTTTAATTCGATCATAGGTTAAAATATTGGTAGACTATGATGGATTCGTTGGTAAGATAAAATGTATTGTAGTTAGAATTATCCAAAATTATTGTTTAGGCTACAGGGATTCCAACTGCGGGAGAAGTAACCTATTTTGGTGGTTTTTTAACTTTGTGGGGAAATAGGGAAATGGCTTAAAGTTTTTGGGGAATTTCATGTTTAGGCTATTTTGATCCAAAAATTTGTTTGTTGCGAATAATCTCACATATGAGCCGATATACATTAGGGTGATCCAAATTAACTAACCTAACGAACTTATGACCTTAAAAAGACCTATTTACTGAGAAGAAAATTCTACCATTAGGAAAAATTTGTATTCCAATTTTAAAAGGTGTCGGTGGGCATTTGAAATTTTCCATGTAAATAACATGAACAAATTTGTGTATCATTAAAAATGTTATAACTATTGAACCGATTCACAGAGGGTTAGGGTATTTGGCCGTTTTAGGCGGCCAAAAGTCGAATTTTCCAAACGCACTTTTTTTTAACTGAATATAGGGTGAAGAGAATAAAATTCTTGACTAGATTCTGTTAGTTTTTAATCCCTCTTTGCTTTAATTCTCTCGTACCGCGCTGTCAAAGTGCCGTGTTGATAATTGTTTATTTGGCTTTCCGATGAGTTTAATACAGGTCGAAGTTGTAAAAAACTGCTTTAAATCGTGTGTTCATTTTTTAAATTAAATTAAATTGGATACTTGTAAAGCTGATAAATACCATATAATCCAAATAGTTTAGTACAAATATAATATGAACTAGTACCGGCAGAGCTACAAAGAAAAATATCGTATTTTTGCAAATTTTAATGGATTGGAGAAATTAACTACAGTCATAAAGTTATGTAACACCACTCAACGGCTCTGAGATTATTGCACGGGTGTTATGCTTGACAGTTCGTAGTTTAGAAACAAACGAAAAAAAAACTGCTGAAAATGTGCGTTTGCTGTGCACTGACCATTGGAATTATTTACTACTGCCGAAAGATAAACCGAAAATACTGCTGCAGTACTGTACCTGTTTTCTTTACATGTACAGGGTATTCTGTAAAAGTGTTCAATGAATAAAGGAAGGTGATAGGAAAGCCAAGACGCCCGACAACGTTAAGAGGGGGCGGTGGGGGAGGAGGGGTTCAATATAAAAATTTGGAGGGTTGCAGAGAGAAAATATAAATTTGCAAATAAGTTTTTAAGGCAGTAAAATCTTACGATTTTTTTCTCAAACTACAGAGTTGCGATGTATTCGAAATTACTTATAATTATTAATTCTAAGAAGGCACACAAGATTCACTAAAAATTAAAGTTAAAAGATATTTTAAATAAAACAAACTACCAAATACTATAGTTAGTTCGATGAGTGTATGCAATTCCTGCGTGTTAGATAAATTATTTCAATAAAACTCAACATAATGGTTACTCCGTATAGTGCTTTTTTATTCATATGTTATTTTGATTTGATTTAATTTTTAAACAGGTAGCAATCCTACTAAATGTAATTGAAAATTAAGCCCTTTCAAAGCCGTTTTGGATGACACCCTTAGCGTAGTAATTCATTAAAATTAATTGAATTACATTTTTTGACAGGAGGCAAACCATCTCATGTTCCATATCCATATTGTTAAAATCAATTTAACCTATCATAAACAATGAATTTGATTTTTAAGGAAGTGGCAGCCCTGTTAAAAATAGTTTCAAACAATAACCTTATTAAACTTTTCAGTCTGACACCAATATTGTTATACATATATCAGTTACCTAATTCGCTTGAATTAAAGTTGAATTTAATTTTTAAATAGATGGTAATCCTCCCACATATTGTTTATAAAAAATGCCCTCGATTCATTCCCATATTGTAGTAGTTCATTTAACTAAATTGCATTTGATTTTTTAGCAGGTGGCAACCCTTTTTATGTTAGATATAAATCTTCTCCGCGGTCGAATACTTGGACATCCTCTCACTCTATTTAGTCGATTTTAAACATTTACAGTTTTAAATATTGTAACACGTCGTTTCTAAACAGTTTGAGTTAAAATTTTCATAAATATAATTTTGGCCGCCTAAATCGGTCAAATACCCCTATGTGCGATTGAGGTAACAATTTTTTCAGGCATATTCTTGTAGGGCATTAAATTCTCTAAAAAATTGCCCTAAACTTAATCATCAGAGACGATTCTTCTTCTTCTTATTTGGCGCTGTAACCGCCTAAGCGATTTCTGCCGAGTTCAGCAAAGCATGCCAGTCGTTTCTCTTCTGAACCAACTGACGCTAATTGGAAACGCCAAGTGAAGCCAAGTCCTTCTCCACCTGATCTTTCCATTGCAGTGGGGACTTCCCTTTTCCTCTGCTACCACCAGTGGGTTCCGAGTTGAATATTTTCAGAGCTGGAGCCTCGGTGTCCATTCGAACGACATGGTCAAGTCAGCGGAGCTGCTGTATTTTAATTCGCTGCATTATGTCCATGTCGTTGTAAAGCTCATACAGCTCATCGTTCCATCGTCTGTGGTACTCGCTATCGCCAACGCGTAACGGCCCGTAAATCTTCCGCAAAATTTTTCTCTCGAATACTCAAAGAGCCGGATGTTGTCATTGTCCATGCTTCTGCGCCATATACCAGCACGGGCATGCTGAATGACTTATAGAGCGTGGTTTTCGTACGTCGAGAGAGGACTTTACTCCTGAATTGCCTACTCAGTCCAAAGTAGCACTTGTTAGCAAGAGTGATTCTGCGTTGGATTCCCATGCTGACATTGTTAGCGGTGTTAATGCTGGTTCCCAAGTAAACGAAATTCTCTACTTCCTCGAAAATGTTAATGTCAACAGTGACGTGGGTGCCAAGGCGCGAATGTGCTGAATGTGCGGAGTGCAATGGGGTATAGTCGTTGCGCTGGGTGTGCAGTTACAGTTGCATGGCTATACTCAATCCCGACACTTGCGTCCTCTTGCAATTTAATTCTTATGTAAAAAATTTTTAAATTTATTACGTTCAAAAAGTAAAATTTTTTTAAATTTTTTTTCAAGAACACTTTTTGTAGAATATTGACGATATTTTTATAAATTACCATTATTTTTTCAAAGTTTTTTATTTTCATTTTGTTTCGATATAATTTGTATGGAAAGTGGTATTGGGTAGGCGTAGTGTTATTTAACAAATTCCATTTACAACACCGTGCGACAAAAACCAAAAATTTTTAAAACACACGAAAAAATTAATATATTCACAAAACTAGAAGCAAAATATAGTATAACTGAGTTTTTAATTTTTCTCTCTGACGTCAGAATTTTTTTTTTAAGACTGAAATTTCTAGGATATGATTGAATGAAAATATTACTTGAAAGATTTGTTGCATTGTGGAGTAACAATATGGGTATCAATTAAAAGGAAAAATTCTATAGATTCCTATTTCTATTTTTTGTAGATAGGAACATGAAATTGCACTGTTTTCACTCATTATGAAAAGAATACTTACAATGAAAATGGCGAAGATCGGGTGGCTATAACATATAGCCTCCATATAACTGATTGTTCAGATATGAGATTTTTTGTTATAACTTCTCCATTTATGGAGCTAGGAATATGAAACTTTGCGCCATTTTCACTCATTATTAACAGAATACTTACAGTGAAAATAACAAAGATCGGGTCACTATAACATATATCTCCCATACAACTGATTGTTCAGTTATGAGAATTTTCGTTATAACTCCTCCATTTATGTAGATAGGCACATCACATGAAATTTCGAAATATTTCCACCCGTTATCAAAAGAATAATTGCAATAAAAATGGCGAAGATCGGGTCGCTATAACCTATAGCCTCTATACAACTGATTGTTCAGATATGAGATTTCTTTTTATAACTTCTCCATATATGCAGCCAGAAACATGAAATTTCGCACTATTTTCACTCATTATCAACAGAAAGTTTACAGTGCATGAACAAAGTACAGTAAATTAACAAAGATCGGGTCACTATAACCTTTTTATTACCTCCATACATCTGATTGTTCAGATATGGGGTTTTACTGTGAAACTCCTTTATATGGACAGCTAAAACCCATGAATTTACACAGTCTACTGAGAAAATCTATGCTATATAAGCTTTATCTCCTATACTACTGATTGTTCAGATACCAGTTTTTGCGTTATTCTCATAACTGAACACTCAGTTGTATGGGAGATATATGTTATAGTGACCCGATCTTCACCATTTTCACTGTAAGTGAATGAGTAATGAGTGAAAACAGTGCAAAAGTTCATGTTCCTATCTACATAAATGGAGGAGTTATAACAAAAAATCGCATATCTGAACAATCAGTAATAAAGAAGCTATATGTAAAAGTGACCCGATCTTTGTTATTTTCACTGTAAGTATTCTGTTGATAATGGGCGGAAGTATTGCAAATTTCATGTTCCTAACTGCTTAACTGGAGGAGTTATAGCGAAAAATCTCATATCTGAACAATCAGTTGTATGTGAGGTATAGGTTCTAGTGGCCCGATTATTCCAGTTCCGACAAATGATTAGTGCATTATAAAAATACACCCACCTACCAAATTTCATCCGGATATCTCGAAAACTGAGAGACTAGATTGCATACAAACAGACGGACAGACGGACAGACAGACGTCGACGCAGCTCGACGAGGGTCTATCACTTCTAATTGTAGTACTTACAACCATCGGACCAAAGTTATAATACCATTTCATGCTCATGAAAATTATAAAAATAGGGGTATACTTTTTTCGATATAGAACAATCCTAGGGGGTGAGAGCATTACAATTCCGACTTTACTGTTTTTGGACCATCCTAGTGTACATATGCATGCCTTGTAAAACCGTTTTTTAAGTCAAATCTGTGCACATTCGGTTTGCACATTAAAAAACTAAGAATAGCTGCTATTTTTGATCGAAAAAATAAAAATCATAAAATAACGAATAAAAATGATCGAAAAAATACAAATCACAACATAACGATTAAATTTTGATTTTTATTATGAGAATCATAACGGTTACGGTCCCTGCAAAAAAATCGATAAATATCGATAACGAAATCGTTAGATATCGATCAAAATATCGATAACAAAATCGATAAATATCGATAACAAAATCGATAAATATCGATGACAAAATCAATAAAAATTATCGCTAAAAAAGTAGTTAAAAATATAGATCACAAAATCGATAAAAATATCGATAACAAAACCAATAAAAATATCGATTATTTTATCGATAAGTTCCGAGAATCCCGAAAATCTTTAAAATCCCAAAATAGATCCCAGATTGAGTCACTGCATCTCTCTCTATATCCTTTCCTCTTTAATTACCTTTATTTTAATCTTTCTTCCCCTATCTTCATCTTTACTTTTATCGGTATCCTCATCCTCCTCTTTGTCTTTACTTTTATGTTTATCATTTTCTTCATCTTCCCCTTCACCTTTGCCCTTATACATATATATAATTAAAGTGTTTAAATTTCCTTGGGCTTCATTTTTGCCTTTATCTTTACGCATCTGTGCTTTTGTTTTTATTTTTACCTTTGCCTATACCCTTTTCTTTATCTATGTGTAGTCACCTTTACTTTCATTCTTGTATTGGTATTTTTCGAAGTGTTATTCTTTAACCTTTTATTATCAAATTTTTGTTAAATTAATACTATATGCATAC